GAACTGTTTCACTTTTTTCAAGAAAATTACCAAAAAAGGAAATTTTTGAAAAAAAGGAGGATCAGCAGAAAGAGTTTTTTTTTTAATATGATATAATAATATAGTTGAATAGTCATAATAATTATATATATATATATATATTTAATCTGTAACCATATCATATAGCTTGAACTTTATTAAAAAGTTATATAACTATCTATAATATTATAGATTTTTCATATACTGTAATAATTAATTCATCATTATACTAAAATACTCTAAGTTAGGTTTAGAGAACAATATTTCACTCCTCTAGAGAATTGATATATAAACTCAATTCACTAAGTCCATCATTAATAGTTTATCACTATAGATTGTTCATAAACTATGAATTACTAAGTTAAGAAGAAAGAGAAAAAAAAGAAATTAGGAAAGGGAAATAATACAAGGTTCTATCAAAAAAGTCCAAAAAAAAAGCAAATATTCTTTAAAAAAGGATCTGCTTGATTAGGATAATCTTCTTACTTCTCTTGAGTCTTGAAAAAAATCTTCTTTATTATCATTTGCAACATCAGACAAGTCAATCTAACTAATCTTTTATTTAAGTGAGTATCAAATTGAAATATCTCAAGAAAAGTATTTAGATCTTATCTTTTGTTCATTAAAGCTTTGTCATTATCTGAAGAACTTAGGTAAGAGATAAAACTTACAATTCACATTATTCATTTCTTAGTCTTTTGATATTATAGATATTTTTCTTAAAGAACTTGAGTTTTTGGAGAGTGAACTTTTTTAGAACATTCTTTCCATCATCAATGACATTATCAGAATACATGAGTATAATCAATAGGAGTTTGTTTACATTTTAAAAACTAATGTGTTTTATGTTAACCATTTATCTTTAGTAAGAAATTGTGCTATCCAAAATTCAGGGTCAAACTGAGATAGGCAAAGTTCCCACCAAAACCATAAAAGTAGAAGCTTTAAGAGGATATAGACAGTCAAAAGGGGAAAAAATAAGTCTTTTTATTGTAGAAAACTTTTATATACCTTTTACTTCAAAGATTAGAAAAGCTTTCATGTACTTCACAATCAGTTCTTCTTTCTTTAATAACTTTCTTATTATTGAGATCAAAGGTATTACTTGACTTTTCTTGATTACTAGAAGTCAAGTTTTTGAGTGAAAAGGTTTTTAAACAAGAGAGAAAGTATAAAAGCAACTTTTGAAGTTATACTTCAAGTTGGTTTAATGAAATTGTTACTATAAGACTTTATTAACAAAAAAGTAAAAAAACCTCTTGCAAACATCTTTTTTGTATATTATCAGAGGATTAGTAAAAAGAGTTTTTTTATAGTCATAATAATTATATATGAATATTAAGATACATAGTATTTATTATAAGTGAAAAATAAAAATACAAAATAAGAATCTCTGCAGTATTAATTTGCAAACTATAAAGTTAGTAATTGGAAGAATTTTTATTTGAACTACTAATGAAGTAATAAATTACTTTCAAAGTTGCACTTAGAGTTTTAAGAAATTTATAAAATAAAGATGTATAAATTAGACAAAGATTTAGTTTTGATAAACTATTTTAAATATAAAGCATATAAATATTTATTAAAATATATACAGTATACCTAGTCTAACTAAGAATTTAAATAAAATAAAATAAAATAAGGGTTCTTAAATATTATCTCATATTACAAGTTACTGACCTATAAAGTATTATAAAAATAACAAATATTTTAGTATCAAGTGACAAAAAAATTTTTTATTAAAAACAAATAATAAAACATATTATTTAATTTTTTTTCTAAGAAGATATATTATTTTGAACTTAGAAAAATTAGAATTCTAAGGTGATTTTTAATTTAAATATAAGAATTGTCAAGTTAAAAAAATACTTTAAGAAAAAGAATTGATTAAATTCCTTTTTCACTTATCAATAGCTTTAAAAAAAAAATGAATTTGAAAGAATATTTGTTTAAACTAGTCGAATCCACAATTCTTTTATATAAAAATAAAGACTTGAATTTATAAGTATATTGTTAATTATTAAAAAAGTTTTAAAGTTAATTAACTTACTTTACTGAAAAAAGCAAAGTTATCTATTATTAATATTAAGCAATAACTTTTTAATTATAAAAATAAAATTGTTGTAAGATATCTTTCTAAGTTTTAAATTACTTATAAAATACAAAAAGTTCAGTTTAAAGAAAGGTTAATTTATTTTATGTATTTTATTCTAATAAAAAAAAAACTCTTTCTGCTGATCCCCAGTTTCTTAAAAAAATTTCTTTTTTAATAATATTTTTGGAAAACCAAGAAGTCAGCCTCCAATATTTAAGAAATACATAGTCTAAAAACAACAATAGCTTGCCATCAAGCTTCAAAACTATACTTCTTTATAATAACAATTATATAATAAGTATTAGAAAAAAAACTATTACAGTATAGTTTTTCTTCATAAAGGAAAGAAAATTCCAAGAAAACTGATTCACAATAAGCTCCTGGAGGCTCAACCTCAACTTCACAAAGCTCTTAGCCAGGCCAGTACAGGTTAACACCTTTCTTGATACTAAGAAAAACACTATAAACAATAACTTCAGTCAATAAATCAGCTAAAGCTCAGAGCCTACAACACTTAGAAGGACATCCAAGCCTTAATTACTCAACAGTAGAGAGTGACATAAACAACACAACAACATTCTATATTCTTAGATCACGTAATGTGAACACATCACATTTGACAGTTTGAACAGCAACCCACTTATGTGTCTAATAAACAACCTGTTTATGTGTTTTCACTTTATATTTATACATAATAGTAGTTATCAATAACACAACAGATCTAAAAATAGTAATACCATTTACAATCAATAGATTAATACCTTGTTTACGTATTTATATTTCATACTTACATATAATAGAAGCTATTAACAAATAATAATAGATCTAAAAATAGTAATACAGCTTACAATCCAAAAATTAATACCTTGTTTATGTGTTTATACTCTATACTTACACATAATAGTAGCTATCAAAATACAATAGATCTAAAATAGTAACACAACTTACAATCAACAGATTAATATTTTATTTATATAAACAAGAATAAATAAACAAAACAAATAAACAAACAAACAAGTACTACTAAAATAAGTAAGAAGCAACTATCACATAACTCAGCACTATCCAAAATAGTATTTAATAAAACATATCAATATTATATATAGTGACCTACTCTCTATATCATATGATCAACATGTTTATGAGAAAATATAAACTCTTACAGGTTGCTAAAAAAAGAGAATCACATATTATTGAAACTTTAGTCCAACTAATAGACAAATATAATCAACAAAGAAAGTTATGGGCCTCACAAACCTTCTTAAATGTCACTTCAACTCAAGAAGCTATCACAAATCCAGTCCCAGGTTCAACTAGATAGCCAATTATTGATAGTATTATTACTAGAATTCTGGATGATAATCATACTATCTTCATCAAAGCCAATATTCTTAGACAACATATCCTTTATTTATGGGTCATAGGACAAGGAAAAAAAGAAGATCTTCTAGCTTCCTTCTTAGAAGACAAATACTTGGATATTATAGAATAGGCAGAACAAACACAATACATCTTACAATTATTGTTAACAAATCAGTCAACAATTGGAAGTGATCTTTCTATGGTGTGAGACACCTAAAACTAAACAGTCCGAAATTTTGTTCTGCAGATCACTTATCAATCACATGACATTTGTCTAATAAAATTCTTTAAAATAATAATGCAAATTTCACTTTATTTTGAAAATTATAACACTTTCGTCTGCGATATTTCAAACTTCGGGTCAAAATTATCTCTGTATAAGAACAAAACTTTAATATTGAACTTGGAATTAATGTTGCAGATTGAACAGCACATACTTACTTATATAATGCATTTAAGAAAATTGATCAAACTAATTTATTCTTAATTCCTTCTCCCATGCATGTTTGGGATTCTTCTGTGTGATTTATATTTTCTTGCAGCATATTCTGCTAATTTACCTATAACTCCGTGTCTATACAAATCCATGCATTGCCACATTTTTCGTGCAAATCTATGAATGGTTATTAAATTAACAGAATTGAGAGCACGAGGTACTGTTTCTTGTAATCCACTCCATGTGTAATTACAATTATTTTGTGAAAATCATTTGGCTGCTCCCCAATACCATTCAATAAAATTTAATTTGCAGTGAAATTTTGAGAAAAATATACAGACGTGACCTGAATCTTCAATCATTTCAACCAATACTGGTTTTTGAGCCAAAAAGTCTGATTGAAAAGATATAATCTTTCTTTCGCAATAATCTACATGTAAAGGATCAGTATTCCCATCTCGATATAATCTACATTCACCTATCATATTTTTTCTCCATAGTCTTCTTTCACTCAAAATCTGCTTTATACCTTTTGGTTGACCGTCAGGAAAATTCATACTTTGTCTTTCATTATTTGGACTCCAAAAAGTATCCTGCATTTTTGGTGCATTTCTACCAGATCCAATATTCATTCTCTTTACAACTAATGCATCAGCTGCAAATATGAAATGATTTGAACTATTATCAAACACAAATACTGCAATGCAATTTGGGAATAAAGCCTCAAATATAGAAATGACTTTATATTCGACTTGCTTGATAAGGTGTGTGGCTGTTCAGTATCCTTCTTCATTCGCTCCTGGTTTTAAATATACTCGAGCCTCTTCTGGAACATCAGGATAACTCTCAATATGTTCAGCAGTAAGTTTAAGTCTTCCACAAGCTTCAGTTAAAAATTCACTCACCATGATTGATTTCCCGTTACCTTTTTTGCATAGTGGCAACTCACCTGATTTAGCCTATGTTTCACGTGTTCCGTCATTTGAATAGAAAATGCATTCATCGTGAACGATTAATATATGCTCCTTCTCTCCGAAATTTAATATAGGTGCAATTCTATTTATATCTTCTCCTTCATATATCGCCATATATTTTTCAAACTTGGCCATTTCCAATAAAAATATTTGCTGATATTCAACATCTTCTCTCTCATGGCCATCATAATATATGCCTTGTTTGTGTTATTGATAATTATATCCAAGAATATTTAACCATCAACATGCCATCTTTGTGCTAATCATCTTGTTAGTCCCTATTTCTAGTAATAGTGATTCTTGAACAAATTCTTTGAATTGATGTAGTGTTGTATGGCTGCTGTTTATGCGAATCCACATATAACATCTTTCTACTATATCTTCGTCAACAATTATTCTACTAAGTTTTTGATGTTTTCTTCGACATGATATAGGCAACGTATAATTGTTGTGCCAATACTTTGCCATCTCTCGAATCTGGATAGCTGTCTACTTATACTCACTGTTATACATCATCTTTACCACTTCCATACTTGCCTTCATTTTTTTCTCACTTTTTAGTAAGCACACTAAGTACTCGAATATAACTCTCTTCTTAACATACTCTTGTGCTGACATTCTATTGAAATTTTCCTCTAAATCTTTTTTTAAACTTATAACATTATTCTCCGATAGCAATGCAAACTCCTCATCTGATGAAACATCTTGTACTGATTGAATTTATTAATTATTTTCTGTAGTGTTTGGTTAAAAAACCTCTCTAATTTCGGACTTCCTTTTGCAGCTACTGTCCATGAACCACTCAGCCCCCATTTATCATAATATGTTGATTTTGGTAGGTTCCCTATGTTATAAGGACCATGTCTACTTTTCTCTAAATTTGCATCCGCTTTCCACTTTAACCAAAGGTTATCCTTTGAAAGCCTGCCCCAAATATCATGTTTTGTCGCTGAATCAACATCACTTCCCCAATTACTTACCTTATCATTTTTCCAAAAATTTTCACCTGATGAATCATCACTCAATCCTGTCTCCATTAATTTGAATGTGCTTGATTCTGTATCCATCGGGTTGAGTTCATCTTCTTTAATAAATTTGCCTCTCTTATCTCAAGACACTTGTTTATGTACGGCTTTTCTTTTATTTGGTCGAGGCATATTAAAACAATAAAGAATGTTACGAGAACAATAATACTAAACTTTCACTTTATTGGATAATGGAATGTTACACAAATAAGTTGCACAAACTGGACGTCTGAAATTTTCATTTTTTCCTTAAGAAACTTAAGAAAAACTTAAGAAAACTGTTGCTTTTCAAATGCCTAAAACTCAAAACTTTTTTAATTAATTAAAAATTCTAAACCATAACTTTATTCTACTTTGTCTGCTCTATCATTCTTACAGATTAGTTTTTGTATAAACCCTTCAATATAAAAGCCTTAGGGTTTTGAAAGTTGGGTATTTTATTTCGAGCTTTAGGTATCCCATACCATATTAATAACTTGCCTGATAAGGCTATGGCCATGGAAGTTCAAGTAACCACACTAATTGAAATTCTAATTGTCACTGAAGTTGAAATGGGAGACAAAGAACTAGAAAATAAAATTGAAATAGAAGTCATTGATGAAAAAATTAGAAGGAATAATATTGCTGAATAGCAAACATATAAAATAAGAAATAGAAAAACATCCAGCATTAATTTATATAATATCAAGGAAAATGAAGATTTTAAAATAGGTGTATTTACCTCAAGACTTCCAGAAGAAATTGAAACAGAACAAATAACATATCTCCAAATTACATTAAGCTTACCAAAAGACTCTTACTCCTTTACAAAAGAATTTATCAATAGCAATGCCTAGACAACATTCTACTGTGAAGAGGAAGAAGATATATTAAAATACCTTGAAAAAGTCAATAGAAAGGAAGAAGACAATTTTATCATAATACTTCTAGAAATGAATAAATGGTCAAGCTCTAGTCAACCACCAAATAAAAAAGTGTTTCAGAAAATACAGGAGGAAAAAGAAACATTACTGGTGGTTACCTTGATCGATATTAACTGTAATTATTCACATCAAGAAATCAAGGCAGTCCTCAATCAATATATACAAACAACAAACATCCATATTTACAACCACTCACAGTCACAACGTGGAATCAAGGCACGTATTATTCCTCACTAACAATATACTGATCTTGAGAAAAAATGGATGATCCACACCAGAGCAGAAACAATTAAAGCAATTTTTTCTCAAAATAAACTTGATGATAAAGCAATCAACAAAATTATTAAATAATGTAACACACAATCCTTGTGACTATATGGAGTACATAATACTATCACTGGATTAATTGCAAGAGCAGTCAAATATATCAAGGCTAGAGCATGTTACATTCCTAGAAATCTGCATATACTTAAACAAAAAGGCTATACTGTAATTTACTTTCCAATAGCACAAAATCTTAACAATGTCTTAAAACATCACATTTGTATTCATGGGCACAAACTTACATAGAGTGCAAAAGAATACTTTAATCAAGAACAAAAGTGTTCACAAAAAAGACAGGATTTCAATAAAGCTGAAGAATCTGATACTAAATTCACATAGTTAAATAAACAATAAACTGATAGTATAAAAATGGGTCAAACTGATATCAGAACAATACAAGACCCAACTAGCACACAACACTAGAGGATAAATCAGAAATTGAGATCAAGAAAAGGATACATCTTAATAAAAGGAAAAGAAGAAACAATCTTCAAGGTAATAAGCTCACTGCTAACAAAACAGAAACTTCTAAATACTTTGCTGCTGGTAATAACAGAGAACCTGTTAATTATCACAATAGACAAAAAATATGCAACAGATCTGTAAGCTTCTATCCTGAAAGTGAAAGTGACCAAGATTTAATTCATCAGATCCTGGATAATCTCAAGTGATTGAACAATATAATAAATTTAATTGAGGAAAAGACAGGCAATCAGAATAGGATAAGAGGGAGGTAATAGAGCAATTGCTTCTAAAAGTAGCACCAGTCTAATCAAGATATATCGGGAAAAAATCTGATCCACAAGAGAAATCAAGTTCATCTGGAAAAAAAGATACAATTACTAAGACAATAATAGATATGAATATACCCTCCCCCAATACAATACATACCATACCACTTGATAACTTTATTGGCACAATTAAAAAGAACACTATTGGAAAAATAGACAAAAAAAGACATTATATAATAACTATACTATAGACAACTCTATATTAAATAATACTATTATAATTGGTATACATAATGTTAGAGATATTAATACTAGTCTTGACCAACAAAGACTATATAAACTTAATAAGATATCTCCTTGATAATCGAATATGTTTTTTCATTTTCAACTTTGAAAATGATTTGCATGCTTTTTGCCAAGGCCAGTGTCGTAGCTGCCAAGTTTTCTTTTGTCAGCTTGTAAGAGTTGATAGGATTGCTTAAGATATTATTTGGCTTTCAAAATTTGATTTGGCTTTGTTTCAGTTTAATTATGGTAGCAATACCAGAGGCCTCATTATTGTTAAATTGACAAAAAAATACAGATATGTGACTTTCTAGCTGTATTTCCCAGATACTTTTGAGACCATATATTCCTTTGTTGTAAATACAGCTATTTGGGATCATTCCATAGACTAGGGCCTTGTTCTTGAATACTTTCCTAAACATGACTGTAAGATCATTATATGTTTTCTCACTTAGGTACATATGTTGTGTTCTATATTCTATTCTTGGAATCAAAACTCTATTGATAACATATTGGGCATGTTTTTCTGCCAACTTTTTCTTGGTTATTGCCTGAATTACTATCCTAATTTCTGATTTTATAAAACTAATAGTGTCCTAGTTTTCTTGTCTCAGTCCTAGCCAAATATCAAGAAATCTAGCCTAGTCCTCCTTGTTGATTTCATGGACTATAGTATTCTCTATTCCAGTCTGAACAGTCCTAGAGACTTGTGGATTTCAATTAATAGTAAGGAGGATTGACTTCTCTGCATTGATCTAAGAGTCATTTGTTATATAAAACTTTTTCACTTCTTCCAGGATCTTTTCCAGGTCTTTTTTGGATTTGATAATTCAGGTCATATCATTCATGTAAGCAATTACTGCCTGCCTTAAGGAGAGCTTCATTTTTTTTTCAGATTTACTAAAGTTGGAAGACCATTCTTTTTCCATGGAATAACCTAGGTTGCTGTTACTTTAGATTTTACATAAAAGTGAATTATAAAAGATTCTCCATAATAATGGAGAGATCATTTCTCCTTGATCTATTCCATTCCCTGTCATTATTGAATTAAATAGTCCATTTGAAAGAATGATACTACAACTTCTGTCTTTGAAGAGATCTATTATAAGTTTCTTAATAGATGTAGGAATTCGAATCCGATTTATGGCTTTTTCAAGTATATCTACGGATATTGTGTCATATGTCTTTGCAGTATCTTGAAATAGGATCCATAGTTCTTTTTTCTTTTTTCTAGCCTTTTTACAAATATTGTTCAGCAGATGGATAGGCTCCACTGTACTCTCTCCCTGTAGTCCGGCAAAGTTTGGTCCTTTTAAGATTTTGTATTGCTTACAAATAGCTGATAGTTGATTGATAAGAATCTTAGTAAAGTATTTTTGAGTTATTTCTAAGAGGACGATGGGTCTTGTATTGTTCAGATCACATTTCCAAGACTTGGGTTTGAGAATGGGATAGATGTTACTACTTTTTCATTTCTTAAGTATTCGATCTGTGCTTAAAACTTTATTAAAAAGAAGACATAAAGTTTCTTTTCCTTTAATTCCTAAATGTTTGAGCATTTCATAGTTAATATATAAAAGGCCAACAGCTTTGTTATTTGGAAGAGATTGCAAAGTAGCTTTGAGCTCTTCTACTTTGATTTCTTCTGTTAAAGGTGAATACCATATTGGATCGATTCATTCTTTGGGTTGATATTCTTTTTTCCAGGAGGAATCTAGATTATCGAAGTTGACATTTCTTTTTTTGAATGCCCTTTTGTGATATTTTTCAACCTTGCTTTTGATGGTTTGAGGGTTAGTAACAATATATTCTTTTCCTTCCTGATTTGTGGTTAACACCCGGTCTAATGTAATTCTTAGTTTTTTATGGTTTAAGACTGAGCCCAGCATCTGCTTCTGGTTGAATCTAAGGTCATTACATCTATTGTCCAGAGCCTCCTTGATTTGGTTTCTGATATGAAGACTTTCTTTTTTCTTGTATATCATTTTAAGGATATATTCTATTTTAGTGATTTTTTTCAATTGCTCTGAAATCTCTTCTTGCGACTGGGGAGGTGCTAGTTCTTCGTCAAGGGATTCATAAGTGTCTTGTAGGTTCTGAATAGCCTTCTCTATATTTTTTATGTCTTCTATAGTCTTTATATCCTAGTTAACTTGAATTTTCTTTAGAAGAAAATGGATCTTATTGGCTTCTCTGTATGCTTCAAAATCCTTCTTTGGGATAACTGCTCCCATTTTAGCTTCTTTTCTTTTACTGGAAGTGGAGTAGACTTTTTTCTTCTTGAGACACTTGTATGCACCCTTGATAATTATGGTTTCAAGTTCTTGCCAGGCCTTTTCAAGTTCTTGAGGACTGTTTTCAGTTTCATGTCAAAAAATCTATGTATCAATTTCTAAAAACTTACATTCTATCCAGAGTTTGAACTTCTCCCATTGTTTTGCAATAGAATTTGCTGGATCTGGTATTTTTTTTACCTTTTGTTCTACATTGTTCTTGGACTTGATTTTTGAGCAGATTATTTGTTGTTATTCTTATTAAAAAAAGAATATGGTCACTATCCAATAGTGTCTCTATTGAAATGTTTTTGAATTTATATGTATTATTTAAACTGATTTCTAATGGTATCCAGATATAGTCTATTCTGCTATATGCTAAGTTGTTTGCCCATGTAAAGATAATATTTTCTTTTTCTTCCCAGGAGTTTTGGACATCTATATAGTTTCAGTCTTCTAGGAAGTTGAAGAAGTCTATCTCAGCTTTTCTATATCTTGAGGTTGTTTTATTAGTGGATGGGAATCAATCTACTATTGG